AGACACTCTCGACATCCCTGTTCTGCGCTCTTACGCTGAGGTGGTGTCGGGGCCCTGGGCAGCCAAGTGGATATAGGCCATGGAGGCTGAGATGGCACCATACAGATCCACAGGCACTTACGTCGACGTAGTTCCCCTTCCTAGGGCGAACGTAGTCGATGGCATATGGATTGATAAGGTGAAGCGCGCACCTGGAGAGCAGCCGAAGTTCAAGGCGCGTTACGTGGCTAGAGGCTTTAGTCAGCGTGAGGGTGTGGACTTCTCCCAGACCTTCTCCCAAACCCCAAAGATGACTACACTTCAGGTCCTTCTTCACATAGCCGCGCAGCTTGACTACGAGCTTCACTCACTCGACTTCTCCACAGCGTTCATGCAGGGTAGTCTGCATGAGCAGATCTACCTCCGACGCCCTCTAGGCTTCTTTGAGTCCTTCCCATGAGTGGCACGACACACTTCGCACCACTCTTTGAGTCCTGCGCCGTCCTGTCTACGACCTTCGTTAGGCACCCCATGAGTGGCACGACACACTTCGCACCACTCTTTCTGAGCTGCAGTTGTTTCCGCCCTCTGATGACCCCTCTCTCTTTGTTCGCACGGGTCAGACACCGCTCTACATTCTAGTGTACATAGACAATCTTATATTTTTTACTCCTGACAGAGTTGCACTGGCCTCAATGAAGGCCTAGTTACTTAGGAGATACACTTGTACAGACCTGGGGAAGCTGAGGCACTATCTGGGCTAGGAAATCTCTCGTGACCGTGCCGCTCGCACGATTACACTCTCCCAATCCCATATGGTGCAGCAGATCCTCCAGAGGTTTAGTCTCCAGTTCTCCTCAGTACAGCCAACCCCTCTGCCTATGGATCACAAGCTCTCTGTTCTTGTTCCGGCTGAGCCAGTTGAGGCTAGTGGTCCATACGCAGAGCTGGTGGGGTGCTTCATGTACCTGATGACCTGCACTCGACCAGATCTAGCGTACCCTCTCAGTCTCCTGGCTCGCTTTGTTGCAGCAGGCAGGCACCGACCAGTTCACCGGTCGGCTGCAAAGAGTGTACTGCGGTATCTGGCGAGTACATCGAGACTGGGGCTTGTGCTAGGAGGACGGGAGCCCGTGGTGCTCAATGGACATAGAGACACCACGTGGGTTGACTACGTGGAGACGCTCAGGACGTCTCAGGGCTATTGTTTTAGTCTTGGTGCTGGTGCAGTCTCATGGAGGTCCACGAGGTCATTCTCTGTAGCTTAGTCCAGTTGTGAGGCAGAGATCTAGGCTAGGGCCATTGCCACTCAGGAGCTCCGCTGGCTGACGTTCTTGCTCAATGAACTTTGGTGAGCAGCCTAGGTCTGCCCCGGTCCTGTTTGCTGACAACAAGGCCATGATCCTACTGTGTCAGGAGGCTCGATTTGAGGGCAGTGCAAAGCACATCCAGCTACGGTACTTCCTGCTGCGTTAGTTGAAGCAGAACGGCCAGGGTCGAGTAGTACACGTGGCCACAGAGGCCAACACTACTAATATCTTCACCAAGGCACTACCGCCTCATGACCATCAGCGGTTCTGTACTCAGCTTGGTCTAGTCTCAGTAGTAGCGCCACTCCATGTATCCTAATATCTACTATACCGTCTTGTACTTGCTATGTCTATACCTGCATGTCTTGCTACACCTACTAACTGGCCTTGTGGCCCCTTGTCTCAGTGGTCTGACTAGTAGTGCTGCCCTGAGTTGTCTTGTTACCTTCACCAGAGACCCGATTAGTAGTGTTGCCCTGGTTTGTTAAACTCCGCCACTACCTAGGCGAGGGGGTGTGTCAAAAAACATATTGTCTTGTCTATATATATCTGGTTGGTTTAGATATGCTTGTTATAACCTAGTTAGGTCAGTTCTTAGAGGGTACAACATTCATGTACTTGTATCTCCCCTCCCCTCTTCCTAGTCACAATTTTTCCCGCTACTCTAACAGTTTTCGCCAAGTGATTTCTTATTGTGTATCTGCGTCGACACCTAGGCTTCTCCCTATTTAAACCTGCTTTCAATTGCTCCATTCATGCTCTCTTCAAGATTAATTCAATCTTTCTCTCCTTCCTCTACCCTAGTTTTACGAAGCTTGTAGCTATTACTTGCTCCTACAGGTAGCAGCCAAGCACTTTGTCGACTAGACTTGTGCACCTCTAAAACCTCTGAAATTTTCGGTTCAAATGAGCAGTCAAAACGTGCCACGTGAAGACTCGATTTCAGCGACTAAAGATATTTAGTTTAAGCGTTGAACGGGTTACATTGGAAGTCATCCACATTTGCAGCAGAAGGTTCGTTCAATTGCTTTTGGGATTCAATATGTCAAATTACGACAATGATTGGAGAAACTACATCGAAGTAAAGTTTGGGCGCAAAAAGTCGGCCAAGTTAATTTTGTGCCCTAATTTCAGCCCAGAAGCCCCGAACATTTGCGGAAAACAAACTTTGTCCAATGTGACGCCACTGTCACGTGTACATGCACTATGCAAAGTGACTGGGGCGTAACATTTTGGAATCGGACATGTGCGCGTCTCCAACCGCATCGCGTGGTTCTGAGCTACGATGTAAAATTGCAACGCGACGTGTGAGTGTTCGCGATATAGTGGTGTTTGTCTGGACCTTGAAAGTGCGCACCAGCAGACAACAGTTATCTGAAGTGTTAGGGTGTGTTTCCCGATCTACGACATGCCTAGTTGTGTACGCACATTTATTTGCATGATGAAAAAGGATTGTTATTGTACTGGTAGCTCATAAGGTCGCACGTCAGACCCTAGCAGACATCTACAAAAAATGACACGTATTGGGTGGCAAATAGCCCACGACCAAACTGCTTAGAACACGAGACATACAATTTCATGACCCACTACTGCACATGTGCAGCGGGGTGTCATGATCCAACACTACCACACCATCACTTACCCAAATGAAAGGAGCCATCATCCAATGCGTATACATGCTCATGCACTCAACAAAAACTTGTTGAGCAGTAGTTCTAGTGGGTTTTTGTGTGAGCGGCAGAGGTGCACAACCCTCTTGATACCACCCACCTCCACTAGGCCGTGCGATGTGGGTGCACGCTCTGGCTTCAGCTGCCTGTTTAGATGTACATTTGTGCATGGACACGCCACGTGGCATGTGTCCCGTTTGGTACCCGGATCTTGTCCAGGTCAGTTACGATGCATCATTTTAGCTCCCGTCCTGTCATGTTTAGACCCCCGCATTACACCGGGCCACATGCCGGTTTTGCTATTGCGTGTTTGCGCCACGACGATGGTGACGTGTATACCTGGGGTCGCTGGGAAGCTGCGCTTGTCGGCTTGGATTTCGTTGTGAAGTCGCCCCTACTGTCACTTTTCTGCAACTCTGTTGGTACCTTGGCCGAAGTCACTTTACACCTCAACCTTTTCGCAACCATGACCAGGTCACCCTAAAATCACCGGAAAGGAATGGCTGCGTCACTTCTTGCACTTACGATTTTCGCGATGTAGCTTTGCCAGGAATTCAATGAGAGGACAGCAGCGGCGGGGGGTGGAGTAGAACTAGAATAGGTGGTTGCCAAGATACCCTCGGCATCTACCATGGTAGTAGCACCACCAGCAATTCCATAGGTAGAAGCAGCCAAGGAAACTATCAAAGCATCGACACAATAACCACGGTTTGTAGCACCACCTGCAGCAAAGGAAACAGAAGAAGCAGCGATGGTGGGAGCAGCAGCAAGAGCAGCGGCGGTGGCTGTACCAGCAGCAAGGCCACGTTTTTCAGCTGCAGCGATTGCCGGGCCAAGCGTGTGCCAGCAGTTTTCGCTGGAGGAGATAGCACGGGCCACGGGGGAGTGGGCTGAGCGCAACCGCATTGGCAGCGGCAGCTTTGGTGACGTGTACAAGGGTGTGAATCCGAGAAAACCCCAAGAGATATGGGTTGTGAAGCGAGCTCGCGTGCTCACCAACGACTTCAAGCGAGAGGTGATGTCCTCATACTCACATGATGAGCTTTGCAAGTTGAGATGTGAGTTCATGTAAGTGTGCTTACAATGACTCCCAAATTGGGCTCTATGAAAGAGGTGAGGCATTGCAAGTTGTCAAAGGACACAATTCACTTTCAACGAATCCATTACTGGTTGCGGCCATTAGCATGCCCAAACTGCGAGATGTTGGTGCACCTGCCCCAATCCACCCCTGCCTCCCACCAGATCAACGAGATGGCAACTAAGAGCCATCTGAATCTAATGCAACTGCTGGGGTACTGCTTTGACATGAGCTACGAGAGAGAGCGCATGGAGCAGATCATTGTGTACGAGTTCATGGATAATGGGGACCTGGACATGTGGATTGGCCCAGGTAACACTCGCCTACCTTATTGTTGAAATTCCAAAAGCATTGATGGTGGTAGCTAGGGTGGTAGCTAGTGATGAGACGAAAGAGAATCATTATGTTACTAAAGCTAGAGGAAGAACCATAGGTATCCGCGAATGCTACGCCTTCCCTAGTTCCTACCAAATGGAGAAGTGGCTCTTGGCGAACTTATGCTAGTCAGAAGGAGCTCCTTTGACATGTTGAAATGGAAACCTAATGCAACTCGATGTGTTATAAAGGAATTATAAACCAAGAGTTCGGGTGAATCCGATTGCATGTAATGTCAGAACGCAGTCACTAATCACAGAGCTAAAAGGGCGTGTTAAGTCGCGAGTCAGTGCGCCCACAACTCCCAAGACAGAGAGGCATGTAGGCCTTCCCCGATTATCTCAAAGGCAACCCCAGCTGGTCTCTCGACACTCCCCCTTGCTGGGATAGGCGGAAGACACAAGAACCTCTGCAGCACTGGCACTGGGAATTGAACTAGAGTCATTGTCACAGGATCGAATGTGTCGAGGAAAGATTGCACTATCGATCAGTACAAGGCGCTTTTATACTTCCAGAGTACATCAGGTAACCAGGTTTATCTTATCCTAGGGGAATAGACCCTTCTAGAAGATAGAATCACCCTGTGTATAGCCACGCGAGGCTATTGGCTTTAAGGGATTACAGCAGGATTACGCTAGATAGAGCGCACCAGTACATCCCAAGCCTGGTCGGTGATATAATGATAATAGCAGGATAAACCAAAGGTTAATGGAAAAGGAAGAATAGGAAACCAAATGAGATGGAATAAAAGAGAAATGAAAAAGGAAGGAAAGAAGAAAAGGCCAAGTGGTGTAACGGGGTTGTACTCTCACAGTCATTCGACTCTTATACCATGTCAGGTTTCAGTCACTAACCACTGAGCTAAAAGGGCGTGTTAAGTAGCTTGTCCGTGCGGCCACAATACCCCATGCAGAGAGGCTTGTAGCCCTTCCTCGAGGATCTCAAGGGCAACCCCAACGGATCTCTCGACATGTAAACCAGTGAAGTATTATGTAACTCCTTACACTATCCCATTCTCCAAAATGAGACCGCTTGCATAAGAAACATTCCAAAAACGGTTATACTCTGTTGGAACTGTATGTGCTTCTAAACCATGAGTGGACTCCAACTTTCATTCTCATGGGGAACCTTCGTCAGTTTTGCACCACGCTGACGAGATGGCGAGGACTTTTTACAACGAGTTTGGCAATGGGGGGGCATGATTGGGAATCGACCTTAACACACCTTGTCCGTCATATTGGGGGCGACAAGTTGAAGGAGGCTAATGCAGAAGGCAAGGTGCTCACACCAATCATCGAAGAGTAGGAGATTTGTGGTGATACGTGTCACCATTTGAGCAATCTAAAAGGAACCACAATAGCGTAAACAGATGTTGTTTGACCGTGGAAATTGCAAGTGACAAATGCTGGATGGGACGAGATTGCCTATTGGAACAGTACTTCTTGACAATTGCAGTAAGCGTTGTGTCTGGTGACCAATTTGGCAGTGCGAACGATGTCAATGTGCTTTCTTGCAAGCTACCAGATATCTTCAGTAAATAATTAAAATGAGGCACTAGAGTATCAACATCAGGTGTAGTATGGAGGACAGGTTTTTGTTAAACAAACAAGGATATACGGGGAAGCGTTTGTCGTAACAAAACTAGCGTTACTGCGGTGAACGTTCTCTCTCTCTCTCTCTCTCTCTCTCTCTCTCTCTCTCTCTCTCTCTCTCTCTCTCTCTCTCTCTCTCTCTTTCTCTTCTCTCTCTCTCTCTCTCTCTCTCTCTCTCTCTCTCCCTCTCTCTTTCTCTCTCTCTCTCTCTCTCTCTCTCTCTCTCTCTCTCTCTCTCTCTCTCTCTCTCTCTCTCTCTCTCTCTCTAGGTTTTTGGGTGGGTGTTAGTGGTGCAAATGAAGTGCTTTATGGTTTGTTCAACTTGCATAAGCTGTCGATTTGTTTGTGGATGGTAGGTGGATGAGAACTTAAGACACGTGGCAAATTGGTCCCACAGGTGGCACCATCGTTTGGAAGTGAAAATTGTATCACGGCCGCGTATCAGTGTGGATGATAGCTTGTGGATGCAAAAGATGCACATCATAAACTGCTGGGCAGTTTGCTCAACCTTGGTGAAGTGCATAATTTCCACAATTCAGTCAACGAGCACGACATAATCATTTTATTTTCTCCGCCAGCTTGCAATCATCTCGCATGTGCATTGTGGCTCGTGTGTGCAAGGCAGAGTCAGTACTGCATTCAACCTCCTCAAACCGATGCTCAGTCCCTCATTCTTTCCATACTCTCACGTAATCTTTTACCATGAAATTGCACGACGAACAAGTAAATCATGATTCCATGTCCAAATTAAGTAAACATTGAGAACATGAGTTGATCAAGTCAACCCTGAGACAACGGGTCAATCAAGTCAACCTTGAGACTGTGAGCCGATCAAATCAATCCCTGCGAATCTGAGATCATCAATGCTTATGTGGGGGCACAGGCTCGATGGTGGTCTCCCAAATTCTATGTCTGCCCATGCTGTGTCGATCCATGTGCGCACTACCCCCTGTCCTCATGCATTCCACGTAAGTCAAGGGAATTTCAATGTCAATAAGTTCATCATGATGCATCATGAATCGTACTACAACAATCAGGCCCACGCCTGCCATGCAATGATATTTAAACTCCAGTGCCTCTTTCATTCTCATTAAATGAGATTTGATTCTTATTTCAGGTCTCATCTCCAAAAGAGCAGCGTCACATACACCTTCGTATCCCATCATTTGCTCTGAGCAATGCAATACGACATAGCGAGCTGCACCACCGAGGACCAAGGGCAACCCCAGCGTATATCATGACACCCCCCTATCAAAATAATTGAATAATGGTAAAGTGAGAGTACACACAAATATATCTAAGTTTTGTATCCTCTAAGAGGTGACTCTATACAGTCTATACAAACATGACAAATACACATGTTTGACACACCCCCTAGACTGCATAGGGGAATACCCTAAACAAGCAGCTCAGGGCGGCACTACTAGTCCAACCTCTGAGACAAGGGTCTGAGCGACCGGTCAGAAGGAGTACAGACAAGGCAAGCACAAGAGCAGGGCGGCACTACTAGTCCAGCCACTGGGAGAGGACACAAGTCCAGTCTGAGTATACATATAAAGGACAGTACAAAGTCAAGGTCCTAGCAAGTGAGAGGCTACAGGAACTAGACCAAGCTGTACACAGTGCCGCTGATGATCTTTAGGCGCAAGCGCCTTCGTAAAGATATCAGCCGTGTTGGCACCTGAGGCCAAGTGTACTACGCGAGCCTGACATCGCTGCTGTAGCTCACGCAGGAGGAAGTACCGCAGCTGAATGTGCTTCGCTCTGCCCTCGAGTCGAGGCTCCTGACACAGGAGGATCATGGCCCTGTTGTCAGCGAACAGGACCGGGGCAGAGCTAGGTCGCTCACCTAAGTCAGTGAGCAAGAAGGTCAGCCAGCGGAGCTCCTGTGCCGCCATGGCACCGGCGTAGATCTCAGCCTCACAGCTGGACTGTGCAACAGACAAGGAGCGAGTAGCTCTCCACGAGACGGCACCTGAGCCAAGGCTGAAGCAGTAGCCCTGGGTAGACCGGAGTGTCTCAGCGTCGTCTGCCCACGAAGCGTCTGTGTGCCCAGTAAGGACCGCTGGCCTGCGTCCTCCTAGCACTAACCCCATGCCCGATGTACTAGCAAGATAACGCAGAACCCTCTTAGCGGCAGACCAGTGCTGCGGTCGGTGTCTGCCTGTGGCCACAAAGCGAGCCAGGATGCTGAGAGGGTATGCGAGATCTGGGCGAGTGCAAGTCATCAGGTACATGAGGCAACCCACCAGCTCTGCGTAGGGGCCGCTGGGCTCTACCAACTCCTCAGGCACTGGAGCGGAGAGCCTGTGGTCTACAGGCAGAGGGGTGGGCTATGCAGAGGAGAACTGAAGGCTGAACCTCTGAAGGACCTGGCGCACCAAGTGTGACTGAGTCAGGGTGATGGTGCGCGCAGCTCTGTCCCTGGAGATCTGCAAGCCAAGGTAACGGCGCAGTTCTCCAAGGTCAGTGCAGGTGTGTCTCTTCAGCAGCTCTGCCTTCACGGACGCCAGCGCGTCCCTGTCTGCTGTGGCAAAGACCAGGTCGTCGACGTAAACGAGGATGTAGAAAGGAGTCTGGCCAGCACGAACGAAGAGTGAAGGGTCTGCAGAAGACGGAAAGAACTGCAGGTCAGCAAGCGTAGCACGCAGAGTGTCGTGCCACTCACGGGGAGCCTGGCGCAGGCCGTAGATGTGGCGCCGCAGGAGCCACTGGGTCCCAGGAGGGAAGGTGCCAGTAAAGCCCGGAGGGCAGCGCAGGTAGACCTGCTCGTGTAGGCTGCCCTGAAGGAAGGCAGTGGAGAAGTCGAGGGAGTGAAGCTCGTAGTCACGCTGAGCAGCTAGGTGTAACAGAACCCGAAGAGTAGTCATCTTCGGGGTCGGAGCGAAAGTCTGGAAGAAGTCCACCCCCTCGCGCTGACTGAAGCCTCTAGCCACATAGCGCGCCTTGAAGACAGGCGGCTCTCCAGGAGGGCGCTTCACCTTGAAGAGCCAGCGGCCATCGACTACGTTCACCCCAGGTGGGGGAACTGCGTCGACGAAGGTGCCGGTGGATCTCCAAGATGCCATCTCCTGCTCCATGGCAGCTATCCACTGCGAGGCCCAGGGTCCCGAAGTCGCCTCAGCGTAAGTGCGAGGGGTCGGGATGTCGAAAGCGTCTGGGTCACCCTCAGGGACTAGCAGCATGGAACAGAGATGGGGAGCAGCCTCGGAGAGGAAAGCAAGCTCGAACTGGCGGTCCTCCAGGACGTCACTGCCAAGGGCAGGAGCACCCCCGACAGACGGAGGACAGGCAAGGTCAGAGACCAGAGCGGTGGCGTAGTCAAGGCGGCGGGTAGAGGCGAAGTCAGCGACAGCAGCGACAAGAGCGTCAAGGCACGAGACTGGAACAGACGGGTCGGTAACGAGAGAGGCAAGGACCCGAGGAACGAGAGGACGAGCGGCACGAAGGTAGTCGGACAGCGGGGGGGGCGCAACAACAAGGGAGGACGGAGGAGGCGACGGCAGAAGGGGAGGACGAGACGCGTGGGAACGAAGCAACATAGGGTGGGAGCGCAGGACAGGCGAGGCAGGACGAGCACGGGAGGGACGGTGAGACCAGACGTGCGATGGAGGAGTCGGGTCAGGAGACAGGGGAGGGGACACAGGAGGGGAACGAGGGGGGAGACGGGCCGGGGACGAGTCCGGCGGAGGGAAAACAGGGCCGTAGACAGGAAGAGGAGGAGACGGTCGGGGAGGAACCGACGCAGGGTCGGGGGACGGAAGGCCGAGCAGGCGAAGGGCGGACACCAACGGGGACTGCTGCTGCGGCGGCACAACGGCGACACCTGGACCGCAAGCTGCTCCTCGGCTACCACCGGCACTCTCCACACCCGCACCCCCAGAGGGACCACCCTCAGGGCGACCGGGACGAGCACCCCCAGAGTCAGCGAACGGGGGCTGCGACTGCGGCGGCGGCGGCGGCGGCGGCGACGGCGACGGCTGCAGTGGCGGCAGGGACGGCGGAGGAGGGGACTGGGGAGGGGAGGCCGGCGAGGACTGCACCGGAGGGCCACCAGAGTCAGAAGACTCCTCAACCGGGTGCACGGACGGAAGGGGGGTGACATGGGAGACACCAGAGGGGGCAGGACGGGGAGGAGGAGGAGGAGGGGCAGGGACTACCGGGGAAGGGGTGACCAGGAACAGGGGGGGGGTAACCGGGGGACCACGGTGGGGGAAGCGGCGGTAGTAGGAGACGGACTCGTCAAAGGTGACGTCACGAGAGTGAAAGAAGCGGTGAGACGGCGGGTGGTAAAAGTGCCAGTTGGACGCGTCAAGGGGAAAACCGAGGAAGACGCAGGGAAGGGTGCGGGCAGTGAGCTTGTCCGTGCCGGAGGCACGGACATGAGCAAGGCAGCCCCAGACGTGGAACGCAGACGCGTCACCAGGGGACCCAGTCCAAAGACGGGTCGGCGAAACCTGCGGCTGCTGAGGGTGCGGCCACAGGTTAAGCTGGTGAGAAGCGTAGCGCACAGCGAACGGCCACAGAAAATGGGGTGCACCGGCATGGACCATGGAGGTGCGAGCGACCTCCATGACCAAGCCGATGCGTCGCTCAGCGACCCCATTCTGCTGTGGGGAGTCCGGTAGGGTGAACGTCTGGGTGATGCCCTCCGCACGACAAAAGCGACCAAGGACACCTGAGGCAAACTCGCCACCACGGTCTGAGTGAAGACGCAAGACAGGGAGACCGCGGTGGACATGCGCAGAGACAAGCCAGGGGATGAGGGCGCCAGGCACGTCGGCCTTGCGCTCCAGGGGAAAGACTGTGGTGTAACGAGTGAAGTCGTCGACAAGCACAAGGAAGTAGCGCTCGCGACGCGGCCCAGGGAAGGGGGCGGGGCCCCAGACGTCCAGGTGCAGGGTCTGCAGCGGCGCGGCGGTAGGGGAGAACGAGGAGGAGTGAGGGGCACGGCGAAGCCGACCCTCGACACAGGGCGTGCAAGGTGGAGCTGGGGAGGAGGGAAACGCGGGGAGTGAACCTGGGAGACCAAGGACAAGACCGTGCTGGGACATGTGACGCAGACGCGGGAGCGCAGGGTGACCTAGGCGGTGGTGCCACAGGAGGGTCGGGTGAGTGAGGGAGCGACAGGAGCAGGCAGCAGCAACCTGGGTAGACACAGCCACCTGAGGGGGCGCTCCAGCCGGGGGGGGCACGGTGTCCAGAGTGAACAGGCCGGACACCGGGTCCCGGGGGAACGTGGACAGGGGGGCACCAGTGGCGGCCTCGGTACAGACAGCATACCGCTCGTGACCAGGGAACGTA